ACTTAATGTCATCCTCCAGCCCTTTCCAGATAACCATGTACATCGTTTTCATTGAATTAATCGTCTCATCCCCTCTCCATTGCCTCAATTAAACAAAATATGGTCAGTAGGATCACATTTCATCCTTCCCAACTTCAGTGAGTACAGGGCTAACCTGCTGAACCATTCCCCACGTGACAAACTCTACATTCTAGGAATCAACCTCGTGACGTTGCGTGGAACTGCTTCAATGAATTTCAGTTTGCCACGACTAGTGAGTGCTATTTTCAGTGTCAGATTCACTTTGCTAACCATGAGGTGATTGTGGTGCTGGACTGGGAAAGAGAAAAGTTACAGGCCTGGTTTAGTTCAATAGGTTGCCATCTCATGCTGGCCTAGAGCAGCTGGCCTCCCACTCCCTTACCGCTGACACATGGCCTTCATTCTGCCCCTTGCAACTTGGGAACACAGCGGTTATCACAGTCGCCTCACAGGCGAAACGTTCCCAGTTCGACCTTGGGGTGGGACCGTTATTGCCTCGCTTTCTCCCTTTCCCCTCCAGGAACTGGCCCAAACTCTCACGCCTCACTCTATTATGGCAGCACGGTGCCTCAGTGGTTAGCACTGCTGCCTCACAGTGCCAGGGACCTGGGTTCAATTCCACCCTCAGGTGACTGTCTGTGTGGAGTTTGCACATTCTCCCCTTGTCTGCATGGGTTTCCTCTGGGTACTCCGGTTTCCTCCCACAGTCCAAAGATGTGCAGGCTGGGTGGATTGGCCATGCTAAATTGCCCATAGTGTCTAGGGTGGGATAGGGTAGGGAGTGGATTTGGATTGGATGCTCTTCGGAAGGTCGATGTGGACCCGATAGGCCGAATGGCCTGCTTCCACACTGCAGGGATTCTAACTTCATCTGTGGCCTAACATTTCCAGTAAATTGCCAAAGACAAATACCTGGCTGGCTATGAGGGGGATTGCAATGGTCGGACCATTTTCACAGCACCACTTCATGGGGTAATATCGTATTAGGCGTTTGGGACATCACAAACCCTGATCTACAGAATGAATGAGAGCCCTCCCCCAACCCTCTCCTGTTTTGTGTGTGTTATCCTTGCGGACTGTGTAAGAGCCAGTGAAAATGGATGCAAGTGGGATCCCAGTATAGGCGACCCAGTCAATTCTAACCACTTGCTTGCTCTGTTTCCACCAAGTGGGTAGGGTAGTAATAAGCTAGATATCAGGAATTTGGCTTTCAAACAAAAGCATTACTTTAGATTCAAAAAATATGAAATCCAAGAAGTTGACAGTAGGGTAGTGAGGGATGATGATACAGAAGCCTGTTCATATTGAGTCTCACTGAAGAGGCAATTGAACATCAAAGGATGACATTTGTGTGCCAATGGGTGACCAGCAACGAAACAGAGTCTTTTAGATAGCTCAGTCCCTAACATGTTAAACGGATAATCAGGTGTGGTCTACAGTTGGACCCTTGAAAAGATAATGACAAAATCAACCTTACATCCTGACATCTATTGCTTATTGCTCAGACACTCCCTGATAGCGAGGCAGATGATCATAGTTTACCAAACTACCACGGTAAACCCAGCAGAAACTCCCAGTTCTGAGGAAGGGTCAGTTGATCCGAAACATTAACCCTGATTTCTCTCCACAGATGCTGACCTTTTCCAACAATTTCTGTTTTTGTTTCTGATTTACTGCATCCACAGTTTTTTGGTTTACATTTTGCACTCATTAGGACAGATGCAAGAATGTCAAATCTCGAACAAGCACAACAGTTTTTATTACAGGATAAAAAGGTGTTGACTGGTTGGCAAATGTGACTCTGGCTGAGGCATTGCTATGGAGAAAACAACTATAGGCTCCTCAAGCTCCCAGGTCATTTAAAAAGGCTTAAAGGTATTCCTGTGATTCATTTCTGAAGAAGGGTCCTGACCCGAAACGTTAGCTTTCCTGCTGCTGTGATGCTGCCTGGTCTGCTGTGTTCCTGCAGCTCCACACTGTGTTATCTCTGACTTCTGCATCAGCAGTTCTTACTATCTCTTAAAGATATTCCTGTCGGTTTCAGAGAAAGTATCTATGTATAGGAATGTATCTTGCTACTAACAAAAGCAAATAAACCATGTCATAAGCTCAACTTAAATTAGTTTGTATTGTCACACATGATTGTTTGGCAAATGTTGTCCAATTGCACAGTTATATTTAGGAGCAGGCATTTTGCTTTTGGTTTCACAAGCATGGGCTTGTACAGAGCACAGAAAGTATAGTATAGAGTAAAATTTATACTTTACCCATTACAAACAACTGAAGTTACAATGCTGTTTGATTTGTTCAGCTAGTCACTGCGATGTATAACCTACATAGGACCTACATCAGACTGACACTAAAATGCATACATAATGTTACTCAATTGTGTATCAGCCAGAACGCCTTTCTGGACTTTCTGTAAGAAAAATTCAATTTTAATATGATTACAACCCAGGGGGATAAATGAGAAAATCTCCATGTACCATGACATCCCGAACCACTGACAGGCCAATAACTTTCTTCCTAGTTGACTACTTTCTGCCATCTGCTTGCAATCGAGTGGAGTAAAGACTTGGCAGGATTATATGTTGAAAAAGGTGATTTGTTAAAAGGCGAGTAAACGATCTCGGGTGAAATTTCACTGACTGGAGCGTGCCAGGAACTTTCTTCCTGTTTATACTCAGGCTCTGTGACAGCAAATGAAGCCGTGGCATCTGCTGCTTTAGCCTATTCTGTCCTTTCAGGTCCTGAGAGACTTGATCTGCAATTCCAGCAGTCCATGTTTCCAAAAGCAGGTGTCAGCTAGAGAGTGGGCACATTTTCAAAGGGAGGAATCCTGCACAGATATTCAAAGAACTCAGCAGAATGTGAGACAAATAATATGCATCTTGAAGGGTTATTTTTATGAGTGCTGTAACACTGGCAGGGTCGCAACAGGAGCTGACAGATCTGACATATTTATAACACGACAGGATGAGAAACCGCTGTTTATTAATTCAGACTGCCGTTTAAATCTATTACATTGATGGTGTGAATGAAAAATGACTGAGGAGGGACTAGAGTTTGAACTGTCTATCTGATTCAGTACAAGTTAGACTGATCACTAAGTGACTTTGTAGGTCCAGATACTGTGAGAAAGGGACCATTAATGTGAAGACTGTACTAATCTACAATATTTAAGAGTAGATATCCTGATCGATGAAGTTTATATCCATATATTTAATAAATTTATTACTCTCCAGTTTATGATATTTAGACACCTACAGCTATTACACATGAGCACATTGCAAGTACGGCAAGTCGTGTGTGTGTGTCTAACAAAAACAGAAAATTCTTGGGAAAGCTCAGCAGGTCCGGCAGCATCTGTGGAGAGAAATCCGAGTTAACATTTTCAGTCCAGCGACCCTTCCTCAGAACTGATGGTAGATAGAAAAATGTTTTTTTAATGCAAAATATAGGGTGGGGGGAGGGGTAAGGAGTAAACAATAAATGGAGATAGAGCCCAAAGAGAAAGAACATTGATTGGATAGGCAAAAGACTGGGTAAAGGTCAGTCTGGATGATTGAATAGCTATTAATTGGGACTGTTATTGGCTACTGTTAGTGGCTAACAGTGGGTGGTGTGTAATAGCAGACCATATGATAACAAGTCTGGTATGTGGGGTTTGGGGTAAGGAGACAGGAGAAGGTGCCTCAAGCCCTAAAATTGTTGAACTTGATATTGAGTCCAGAAAACTGTAGAGTTCCCAAGCAGAAAACGAAGTGTTGTTCTTCCAGCTTGCACTGAGTGTTGCTGGAATGCTGCAGCAAGCCTGTTGGCCAGGGAACAAGGCGGTGTATTGAAGTGGCAGGCAACAGGAAGCTCATGGTATTTTTTTGTGGACAAAACGTTAAGTATTCTGCAAAGCAGTCACCCAGTCAATATGAGGAAGAGGAAAAGTGAGGAAGACGTAGGGAGAGCGGGAAGGAACTAAATCAAAATGGATTTGGAGGGGGAAATAAAGCACTGTGGTGCCTATCTGTCTCTAAAGGCTTCAAGAGCATAGGTGGACACTGCTTGTTTCTTCTCCAAGAACAGCTGGCCATGAACGCAACTACGGAAGAGGGGCAGACAGACAGTCAGCAGAGATGACCCGCTCCACTGCCCGCTGCCTGGACCTGTTTATAGCCAGCCTGGCCAGGCTCAGGAGCAGACCCACAAGGAGGTCCTCCGATCTGCCCACATCCCCCCTGCACTGGGTGCCCAAAGACCGAGAGTGTGGGGCTGAAGTGCAACCAAAAGCACAACGACGATTGTTCACTTAACTATAAAGGGAGTGCAATGGTCACTTGTCTATTTTTTTATCCTTTATATTCCAGAAGTGCCATCACACACAACTAAATGGCTTTGCTGCCACCAAATCACTATGATTTTGCTTTTGTTTTGAATGGCTAATCACCACCAGTAACTCCCTCGTGTAGCCCAATTAGATATGTACAAGCAAAGCCCATTACAGGCAATGCATCCATTAAAAGTGAGGGAGGGCCAGCGAGAGCAGGAAAGGGCTAAATCGAAACAGAACTGAAGGAGGAAATAAAGCAATGTATTCCCCCATAGCGCCCACCTCTCGCTAAAGGCATGGAGAGCATTGATGGACACCTTGTGCTCCCTCTCCATGGACACCTGGGCACGAAAGGTCACTTGCCTATTAAATGAGGGTTTCATTGTATTCAAGTGATGGGTTTTAATTGGGGATTCATCTGTGACCATAACAACGCAGGTTGAAATTGTGGCTGGTCAACGGGACCTCTGTGCCATGTTTTGTGCGTGTCTCTGTAATTGAAACATTTTTTTTCAAATGTATAAAGACTGGAAACCTGTGCCACCCTCTGCCTGGCTATCTAACGCAGTGAAATGACTCAATGAACAAACAGGAAAGAACTGGTTTCTTCAGAACTGTTCCAATTAAATGACAACCCGTCTCTTTCTTTTCCCAGCTTGTCATTCTGGAACGTTTAAGGCCACTCAGGGCGGTGAGCAGTGCACCCCTTGCCCTGCCAACAGCAGGTCTTTAAGTGAGGCATCCAGCATTTGCACCTGTCGCAACGGATACCACAGAGCAGACTTTGACTCACCCAAGATGCCGTGCACAAGTGAGTAGAGACTTGCTGACAGGTTTAAAGAATGTCACGCTGTTAAATTGACTATTAATTGAGATTTATTCCCTCTTGATGAAGGGTTAGGCTTATTGTGACCAGTAAATGCAGAGAAATAGGTTCGTTGTTTCTTTTTAAAGTAATCATTGATGCATTGAACTTTTCCACCTTCAAGGCCCCTGAGTGAAAGTGATGCGGAGGACCGTGGATTGTGAGGGTGCAAGTTAGTTGAAGCTATCTCACATCACCTTTGCTAGAGGGCAATTGAAGAAAGTGGGCCTGTTACACTAACATTGACAATGTGGGATTTGTGATATCCATTCTGTAGTCAAATGTGAACTGTTAAGCACACGAGAGCAAAGTGTGTAATGAGGGGTATGCCAGGTTCCAAGCGATCGATTGTGAAAGGGGACTCACTAGTCAGAGGCACAGACAGATGTTTCTGCGGCCGACAGCAGGACATCAGATTGGTGTGTTGCCTCTCTGGTGCCGGGATCAAGGATATCTCGGAGAGGGTGCAGAATGTTCTCAAAGCAGAGAGGCATCAGCAAGAGGTCATTGTACACAATGGAACGAATGACATGGGAAGAGAAAAGGATGAGATTCTGAGGAGAGAATATAGGAACTTAAGCAGGAATTTAAAAAGGAGGTCCTCAAAGACAGGAATATCTGGATTACTCCTGGTGCCATGAACTAGTGAGGGTAGGAATAGGAGGATGGAGCTGATGAATGCGTGGCTGAGGAGCTGGTGCAGGGGAGAAGGATTTACATTTTTGGACCATTGGAAAAAAGTAGATGGGTTACAGTCAGGGGACTGAAAGGGAACAGGCAGACAGTACAGAGATCCCCTGTGGCCATTCCCCTCAAAAACAAGTTTACCGTTTTGGATACTTTTGGGGGGGATGACTTACCAGGGGTAAGCCATGGGGTACAGGTCTCTGGCACAGAGTCTGTCCCTGTTGCTCAGAAGGGAAGGGGGGAGAGGAGGAGAGCATTAGTCATTGGGGACTCCATAGTTAGGGGGACAGATAGGAGATTCTGTGGGAACAAGAGAGACTCGCGGTTGGTGTGTTGCCTCCCAGGTGCCAGGGTCCGTGATGTCTCGGATCGTGTTTTCGGGATCCTTAATGGGGAGGGGGAGCAGCCCCAAGTCGTGGTCCACATAGGCACCAACGACATAGGTAGGAAAAGGGATGGGGACGTAAGGCAGAAATTCAAGGAGCTAGGGTGGAAGCTTATAGCTAGAACAAACAGAGTTGTTATCTCTGGTTTGTTACCCGTGCCACGTGCTAGCGAGGCGAGGAATAGGGCGAGAGAGCAGTTGAACACGTGGCTACAGGGATGGTGCAGGAGGGAGGGATTCAGATACCTGGATAATTGGGTCTCATTCTGGGGTAGGTGGGACCTCTACAAACGGGATGGTCTACACCTGAACCAGAAGGGTACCAATATCCTGGGGGGGAAATTTGCTAATGCTCTTCGGGAGGGTTTAAACTAATTCAACAGTGGAGTGGGAACCTGAATTGTAGTTCCAGTGCACAGGAGGTTGAGAGTAGTGAGGTCATAAATAAGGTTTCAAGGTCGCAGGAGTGTACCGGCAGGCAGGAAGGTGGTTTGAAGTGTGTCTACTTCAATGCCAGGAGCATCCGGAATAAGGTGGGTGAACTTGCAGCATGGTTTGGTACCTGGGACTTCGATGTTGTGGCCATTTCGGAGACATGGATAGAGCAGGGACAGGAATGGTTGTTGCAGGTTCCGGGGTTTAGATGTTTCAGTAAGATCAGGGAAGGTGTTAAAAGAGGGGGAGGTGTGGCATTGTTAGTCAAGGACAGTATTACGGTGGCAGAAAGGACATTTGATGACAACTCGTCTACTGAGGTAGTATGGGCTGAGGTTAGAACCAGGAAAGGAGAGGTCACCCTGTTGGGAGTTTTCTATAGGCCTCCGAAAAGTTCCAGAGATGCAGAGGAAAAGATTGCAAAGATGATTCTGGATAGGAGCGAAAGTAACAGGGTAGTTGTTATGGGGGACTTTAACTTTCCAAATATTGACTGGAAACGCTATAGTTCGAGTACTTCAGATGGGTCAGTTTTTGTCCAATGTGTGCAGGAGGGTTTCCTGACACAGTATGTAGATAGGCCAACAAGAGGCGAGGCCACATTGGATTTGGTACTGGGTAATGAACCAGGCCAGGTGTTAGATTTGGAGGTAGGTGAGCACTTTGGTGATAGTGACCACAATTCGGTTGCGTTTACATTAGCGATGGAAAGGGATCGGTATATAACGCAGGGCAAGAGTTATAGCTGGGGGAAAGGCAATTATGAGGCGATGAGGCAAGATTTAGGATGCATAGGATGGAGAAGGAAACTGCAGGGGCTGGGCACAATTGAAATGTGGAGCTTGTTCAAGGAACAGCTACTACGTGTCCTTGAGAAGTATGTACCTGTCAGGCAGGGAGGAAGTGGTCGAGCGAGGGAACCGTGGTTTACTAAAGAAGTTGAATCTCTTGTCAAGAGGAAGAAGGAGGCTTATGTAGAGATAAGGCATGAAGGCTCAGTGAGGGCGCTTGAGAACATAGAACATAGAACATTACAGCGCAGTACAGGCCCTTCGGCCCTCGATGTTGCGCCGACCTGTGAAACCAATCTGAAGTCCATCTAACCTAAACTATTCCATTATCATCCATATGTTTATCCAATGACCATTTAAATGCCCTTAAAGTGGGCGAGTCTACTATTTTTGCAGGCAGGGCATTCCACGCCCTTACTACTCTCTGAGTAAAGAACCTACCTCTGACATCTGTCCTATATCTATCACCCCTCAATTTGAAGCTATGTCCCCTCGTGCTAGCCATCACCATCCGAGGAAAAGTTAGAGTAACAAGTTAGCCAGGAAGGACCTAAAGAGAGAGCTAAGAAGAGCCAGGAGGGGACATGAGAAGTCTTTAGCAGGTAGGATCAAGGAAAACCCTAAAGCTTTCTATAGGTATGTCAGGAATAAAAGAATGACTAGAGTAAGATTGGGGCCAGTCAAGGACATTAGTGGGAAGTTGTGCGTGGAGTCCGAAGAGATAGGAGAGGGGCTAAATGAATATTTTTCGTCAGTATTCACACAGGAAAAAGACAATGTAGTCGAGGAGAATACTGAGATACAGTCTATTAGACTAGACGGGATTGAGGTTCATAAGGAGGAGGTGTTAGCAATTCTGGAAGGTGTGAAAATAGATAAGTCCCCTGGGCCGGATGGGATTTATCCTAGGATTCTCTGGGAAGCTAGAGAGGAGATTGCAGAGCCTTTGGCTTTGATCTTTATGTCGTCATTGTCTTCAGGAATAGTGCCAGAAGACTGGAGACTAGCAAATGTTGTCCCCTTGTTCAAGAAGGGGAGTAGAGACAACCCTGGTAATTATAGACCGGTGAGCCTTACTTCGGTTGTGGGTAAAGTGTTGGAAAGGATTATAAGAGATAGGATTTATAATCATCTAGAAAGGAATAATTTGATTAGGGATAGTCAACACGGTTTTGTGAAGGGTAGGTCGTGCCTCACAAACCTTATTGAGTTCTTCGAGAAGGTGACCAAACAGGTGGATGAGGGTAAAGCGGTTGATGTGGTGTATATGGATTTCAGTAAAGCGTTTGATAAGGTTCCCCATGGTAGGCTATTGCAGAAAATACGGAGGCATGGGATTGAGGGTGATTTAGCGGTTTGGATCAGAAATTGGCTAGCTGTAAGAAGACAGAGGGTGGTGGTTGATGGGAAATGTTCATCCTGGAGTTCAGTTACTAGTGTTGTAACTCAAGGATCTGTTTTGGGGCCACTGCTGTTTGTCATTTTTATAAATGACCTGGATGAGGGCGTAGAAGGATGAGTTAGTAAATTTGCGGATGACACCAAAATTGGTGGAGTTGTGGATAGTGCGGAAGGATGTTGCAGGTTACAGAGGGACATAGATAAGCTGCAGAGCTGGGCTGAGAGGTGGCAAATGGAGTTTAATGTGGAAAAGTGTGAGGTGATTCACTTTGGAAGGAGTAACAGGAATACAGAGTACTGGGCTAATGGTAAGATTCTTGGTAGTGTGGATGAGCAGAAAGATCTCGGTGTGCATGTGCATAGATCACTGAAAGTTGCTACCCAGGTTGATAGCGTTGTTAAGAAGGCGTACAGTATGTTAGGTTTTATTGGTAGAGGGATTGAGTTTCGGAGCCATGAGGTCATGTTGCAGCTGTACAAAACTCTGGTGCGGCCGCACTTGGAGTATTGCGTACAGTTCTGGTCACCGCATTATAGGAAGGATGTGGAAGCATTGGAAAGGGTGCAGAGGAGATTTACCAGGATGTTGCCTGGTATGGAGGGAAGGTCTTATGAGGAAAGGCTGAGGGTCTTGAGGCTGCTTTCGTTAGAGAGAAGAAGGTTAAGAGGTGACTTGATAGAGACATACAAGATGATCAGAGGATTCGATAGGGTTGACAGTGGGAGCCTTTTTCCTCGGATGGTGATGGCTAGCACGAGGGGACATAGCTTTAAATTGAGGGGTGATAGATATAGGACAGATGTCAGAGGTAGGTTCTTTACTCAGAGAGTAGTAAGGGCGTGGAATGCCCTGCCTGCAAAAATAGCCCACTTTAAGGGCATTTAAATGGTCATTGGATAAACATATGGATGATAATGGAATAGTTTAGGTTAGATGGGCTTCAGATTGGTTTCACAGGTCGGCGCAACATCGAGGGCCGAAGGGCCTGTACTGTGCTGTAATGTTCTATGTTCTATGTTCTATGTTCTATGTTCTGGGGTAGAAGCGACCTGTATAAGAAGGACAGATTGCATCTGATTCAGAAAGGGACTAATATTCTGGTGGGGAGATTTGCTAGAGCTGCTCAGGAGGACTTAAACTATTGAGGGGGTGGGGGGTGTGGTGGATTGGTTGGGACTCAGGGAGATAGTGAAGAAAGAGATCAGTCTGAGACTTGTACAGTTGGGTAAAGGAGTAAGTCAAACAG